TTTGTTACGTTGTGAGGTTTCCCCTACTCTCCTACATAGCTCTGTTTCAATAGCCGTTTATCGGACGTGTTTATGTTACATAATAGTAAGACCCTTCAGTAACAAGTGACTAGTTTGTTACGTTGTGAGGTTTCCCCTACTCTCCTACATAGCTCTGTTTCAATAGCCGTTTATCGGACGTGTTTATGTTACATAATAGTAAGACCCTTCAGTAACAAGTGACTAGTTTGTTACGTTGTGAGGTTTCCCCTACTCTCCTACATAGCTCTGTTTCAATAGCCGTTTATCGGACGTGTTTATGTTACATAATAGTAAGACCCTTCAGTAACAAGTGACTAGTTTGTTACGTTGTGAGGTTTCCCCTACTCTCCTACATAGCTCTGTTTCAATAGCCGTTTATCGGACGTGTTTATGTTACATAATAGTAAGACCCTTCAGTAACAAGTGACTAGTTTGTTACGTTGTGAGGTTTCCCCTACTCTCCTACATAGCTCTGTTTCAATAGCCGTTTATCGGACGTGTTTATGTTACATAATAGTAAGGCCCTTCAGTAACAAGTGACTAGTTTGTTACGTTGTGAGGTTTCCCCTACTCTCCTACATAGCTCTGTTTAAATAGCCGTTTATCGGACGTGTTTATGTTACATAATAGTAAGACCCTTCAGTAAGAAGTGACTAGTTTGTTACGTTGTGAGGTTTCCCCTACTCTCCTACATAGCTCTGTTTCAATACCCGGACGTGTTTATGTTACGCAATATTTAGAATATGTACGTAACACTCAAAGTTGGTAAAGATAGTGTGTGATGATTCAAGAATCAGAAAAAATATATTCTTCTCTATTATCAAGAAATAGAAAGGATAAAACCAAACTTGTCGTCTTAGATACACGTATGCAGCAGTCTCTTTTTAAACCAATATTATTGTGACGATAAACAACAACACAAATATCCTTTATCGCGTGTACTAGACAGAGGTAAACATGTGTTGGACGGAACTTCCTTCTCAAAAGCAATGAAATGGAAATTCCATTGAAGATAGCATAGTTTTTAAGAGAAGCCGTATTATTCTGAGATTACTTCGATAATCAGCCTGTCTCATTAAACTGTATTTAAAAGCATATAAAACGAGTCGGAAGTTTGGTTTTTGCTGTGAATGTGTTATCAGAGCAAGATGTATTTTTCTACTTTAAGATAATACCAGAGTACATGTTGAACTTCTCTCGGTTTACTAGACTTCTGTAAGATGTACTTAGTCCCACTCATGGTTTTGCTATATATGATGACAATAGGTATTGTACTGATGTACTTAGTCCTACTCAATGTTTTGCTATATGATGACAATAGGTATTGTACTGATGTACTTAGTCCTACTCATTGTTATGCTATATGATGACAATAGGTATTGTACTGTAGATTGATTGTACCTCCAACCACCTGTCAGGGTTTACATGGCGGAAAGTATCACGATGATGCCGCCACTTAAGTTTTTACTACAAAACGTTAAACAGTAACTGGTTTTCCTCTCAAAAGCAACAGGCGTGGTTACCAAACATACCGAAGGCACGTCAAGGTCGTCTAAGGAAAACGTGTATATGCGCGTGTGTGTCTAAATATAGCATACCGGAGCTTTGTTTGACGTCACAGCTAAAGTACTGTGTAGTGTAATGCTATTAAATATCATCACATTGAATGCATGTGATTAAAACTGCAGTACGTGTATGTATTTAACAGTTGCTCACGCTTTCTGTGGTACTCACCCTTTCTGTGGTACTCACCCTTTCTGTGGTACTCACGCTCTGTGGTACTCACGCTCTGTGGTACTCACCCTTTCTGTGGTACTCACGCTCTGTGGTACTCACCCTTTCCGTGGTTCTCACCCTTTCTGTGGTACTCACCTTTTCTGTGGTACTCACGCTCTGTGGTACTCACCCTTTCCGTGGTACTCACCCTTTCTGTGGTACTCACGCTCTGTGGTACTCACCCTTTCTGTGGGACTCACCCTTTCTGTGGTTCTCACCCTTTCTGTGGTACTCACCCTTTCTGTGGTACTCACCCATTCTGTGGTACTCATGCTCTGTGGTACTCACCCTTTCTGTGGTACTCACGCTCTGTGAGTTTGTACTTAGGTGTAAATGCAGTAGTATTTGTTATTCTTACTGTTTTAGCGATAAAAAGGAAATATATCACACTGTTTTTCCCGACATGCATTGTGCCAATAACACTAACTATATACAATAAGGAAGAATTGTTTGTATTAATAAACAGGAACTTAGGTGTTCCGATAGCTTAGTATTATATTCAAATCTAAAAAAAAAAAAAAACTTAAATTTTAATATCATTAAACAAAATACCTTGGTAGTCAGGAAAAATGTGTCCGACTAAACAAATTAATCTTACTGGTCCAGATAAAAGTTTATCATAACTTAAAAGGTTGATCTAAATGTTCAGAAAAAATGGGTCTGATGAGTAAATAATGTTCATTAGTCAAGAAAATATGGTCTGATCATCCCTAACGTACGAGTCGTATACGAATGGAGCTTTTCTCATAGCTGATATCTTATAATCTTTATCTCATTCACACTTATGATGACTGGACCAGTTATTAAGATTTAGCGATTAGCAATAATTGATAAAAAAAATCAGCAATAACTGATACAAATTAGCAATAACTGATACAAATTAGCAATAAGTGATACAATTAGCAATAAGTGATACAATTAGCAATAATTGATACAAATTAGCAATAATTGAAACCAAGTAGCAATGAGTGATACAAATTAGCAATAACTGATACAAATTAGCAATAACTGATACAAATTAGCAATAAGTGATATAAATTAGCAATAACTGATACAAATTAGCAATAAGTGATACAATTAGCAATAAGTGATACAATTAGCAATAATTGATACAAATTAGCAATAATTGAAACCAAGTAGCAATAAGTGATACAAATTAGCAATAATTGATACAAATTAGCAATAAGTGATACAAATTAGCAATAAGTGATTCAAATTAGCAATAATTTATAGAAATTAGCAATAACTGATGCAAATTAGCAAATATTCATACAAATGATATTACAATTATTGGCAGTAATTCGTACATTTGTTGATGCATCTTTTCAGTCCATATTTATCAGAAAACTTTCCTTATTTTGTACAAATCTGCAATATAACCTATTAAGAATAACTAAAAGAACAGGATCGTTGTTAGAATCCAACTTACACAATTTAATTCCATAAAAAAGTATAGTAACACCCCATGCAATAACAATAACATTGTTACGGAATATAACGTGTTTTCCATAGACAGTTTGATTGTTTTAAAGGGAAAAGGGGAAACGTGTATACCATTTTCTGCTTGTTTTGATAGGTGTCGTACAATGCCAAGTCTGGAGCAATTTAAATTACAGATCTTGTCTCGATCAATTTAAGATATATTAAAACTGGGTGTTGGCTTTAGAAATAATGGTTTGCATGTGGATGATTTGTAAAGCACAATCTAATTGCATTCTCATATAAACCGGGTTATACACACAAATTACACCAGGCCACTTAATGAGGAATATCCCCTAAGGCATAACGGTTATATTGATACTATTGGAAAATTGTGTTTTGACCGATAACTGTAAACTGAGATAGAAAGTGTTTGAGAATACATATACTCAATGTCTTTCGTCAAAGTAATAAGTTATTTTAATCAATCATAATAATTCAATATTCATTGATTATGTACAAATCAATCCATATATTTAGCGACTATTGTAGTCTGTTACTTTGACTGCGGAACAGCACGTGACTCGTTAGCGAATATAAAACGCTCACGTCACGGTGAATGTTGCCGCAATATGTTCAATGTCGGACCCTTATTTGTTGTCATTTATATTGACCCGAGCGTTTTTAGTCTCATTTTTTCGAGATCAATGACTCTATTCCCTTTTGTTTTAAATCCGTGTATCCTTAGTTTCTGCTGTTGTCTTTCTGTATTTGCTGTCTTTCTGTATTTGCTGTCTTTCTGTATTTGTAGGCTCTGCTGTTGTCCCTATGTAGTTGTAGACTCGGCTGTTGTCTTTCTGTATTTGTAGACTCTGCTGTTGTCTTTCTGTATTTGTAGACTAGCAAAGTTTGTGCACACGATGTGATGTATAATTGTGTATTTGTTAAATCTTTAAAGATGACCTGATTACAGCATAGTTTGAGCATTTAAAAAAACACATGTGTCAGTGATAGTATCAGCTCTTTTTGCTGTAACAGCTTTAATTATGATTGCGCTAAACCCAACTTAAAATAATTTGCTGTTTAGTAAAATTTAAGATCGCAAGTAGGCATGCTAGAAAATCCACAAGGAAGATCAAGTCGATGTTGCATTTTTTATTACCATCCTTATTCATGATCTCGTTATATTTGAATACGTTTTGTATGTCGCCCTATTAGAACTCCCTTTACGAGTATATTTCTACCCTAGGAAAGAAGGTATACGCTTAGCTTGCTTGTATTGTACCACATTGAGAATATAATATACGGTGATTAAATCAGGATTCAGTTTTCAAGTTTCATTCATATTTTAACAGAAACGTTCATGAAAGCATATTAGTTTGTTATGGATGTCACGTATGTCACATTACCCCGTCATGAAATGGTGAATTAATTTATGATAGATACAGGCAGGGGTCATCATAACGTGTGAACGGTTGTCAGGGTTTATAGCCTGTATACGCCATGCATGGGGGAACCTATATAGCGCTGGATGGATATGACATGCTTAAAAGATATTTTCAACTGAAATATGTCGTTGCTAAGTTGTACTTTAATAATGAAATATACGAACAGAAAATGTTACGTTATTGTAGGAAAAAACAAATGTCTAGACATTCTTCGTGAAGGAATACCAAACAAATCTCCAACCAGGCGTGAATTATGAAATCCACTGAAACGTTTATGACGTATTTAACTGTATTCGAATTAATGACAGCTGATGGTACGCTTTTTTTCCATTTCAGTGCCAGAGAGGCCCCCGAAATCTCGCAGGCGACCACGCCCACCCGCAACTACACCACGCCCGAGGCCGGAGGGACGTACGTTACACAGAATCTTCAATTCTTGTTCATAACATAGAGAAGTTATCAAAAAAAATATTCAAATGATTATCAATTAAATACAGCTAATGTATTATTTTTATATGTAACAATATGGGCTAAGCATGGATCAAATTTTCTCTTATTTTAAAACTGCCAACCACAAATGAATATATATTTTTTTCAAATATTTTGCTTACTTTTTACAACTTTCACTTGAATTTGAATTATCTAAATGTAAGTTTCTACAAAATAATTAAGAATCATTTCTTGTGTTTAATAACTAATGATTGATTGTCTCTGTACCGCACGAAAAGTCTTAAATTGATAATTTTAATTATCCATTCATTAGGTTAAGAACATTTAACTACTTATCACGAAAACCATACGTTGATTTGGCTGTTTATGGTGAAATGAAATAAACACTATCCTTTTTATAGAGATAGAAAACACATTTTCTCAAATTATAACCTATCATTTATTTTTAACGAAAAATTTACTGATGAAGATTATCCATACATTTTGACTACCGTGAAAGTCGAAGCGTTTCAATTATCTCCATTATAAAATGATTCTCGTCCATTCTTATTTTTCGAATTTCAGACAATGACAAGTTTATAGAAACGCTTGTGCATTTTTATGACTATTTTGATTGTCTGAAGGCGACATTTTGCAAACATTTTATTGTCAGTCCTTTTACAGTTTCACCGTTTATTTTTCATTTTTTAATTGGAACATCATTAAATGACTGAAAACGCTGAAATTCGGTAAACCTTACCAAATATAGGCCTTTAATAGATTTAAATTTTCGTGTCGATCGAATAACGAATCTCTAGCTGTGCGAGTTAGCTCCCTTTGTAAAATTAGATTTCAAAAAAATATTCACTAAATAAACTAAAGGGGTTGGAAGGCATAGCCTATATAATCCCTCCAAACCAATATACTTCAAACAAAATGTAAACGCACTCTTCAACGTAAGCGTTAAGCAACCACTTTATTAAACTATGGGATCATTTAAATCAGTTGTTCATAAGCAATGATTTGAAAACGAAGAATTCTCATGGTATGTGATTTAATAAGATAACTGACTAGTGGAGGTACACTTACTCCGTGTCCATATCACGTGGTAAATCAAATTCAAATCCCATCTGGTTTATGAATGAAAACTACATGTAGTTAAAATCCATTTTCAGTTTTCGCTCTTTCAACGGATAGTTCCTGGCATATTTCGAATTTTGCGATGGTTTCCTTTTCTGACATTTTTAGACAGACTGTTCCAAATGTTCCAAATCTGTAACTGAAAATTGTTTCATCATTTTATCTGATCTTTTGCTGACGATAGTTAGCGACCAATACCCTCAGTTTATCTGATCCTTTGCTGATGATAGTTAGCGATCAAATAACCTCTAAGTTTATCTTTAGAAACGAAAATTGATTATACTTGTACAGATATTAATGATGTATCCTCTCATTCTGGGTTATATCAACAAGGAAAACAAAGGAATGAGTCCTAAGTTTCTGTATAGGTGTTTTACATGTGTCAGGTGACACTAGATAAAGAGAGGAATCGTGTCCTAAGTTTCTGATTAGGTGTTTTACATGTGTCAGGTGACATTAGATAAATAGAGTAATCGTGTCTGAAGTGACACAGTATAGGTCACGATTACTTTATTTATCTAGGTGTTTGACATGTGTCTAGTGGCACCTGACACATGTAAAACACCTATACAGAAACTTAGGACACGATGACTCTATTTATCTAGTGTCACCCGACACATATAGGTGTTTTACATGTGTCAGGGGACACTAGATAAATAGAGTAATCGTGTGCTAATTTTCTGTTTAGTTGTTTTACATGTGTCAGGTGACACTAGATAAATAGAGTAATCGTGTTCTAATTTTCTGTTTAGTTGTTTTACATGTGTCAGGTGACACTAGATAAATAGAGTAATAACGATGATGTTTGACAGCACCTCTTTTTTCATTTCCGTTCGCAACATCTCTATCTTTTCCATTTACTTAGCATGTACATCAACCGCAGACGTCGTCTTCATTCTGGACACTTCGGGCAGTGTCGGACGCGACAACTTCTACAGAATGTTAAACTTCACATGGAGCACAGTGCGTGAACTGGAAGTGGACAGTGGCAACTACAGAATCGGCTTGATGACCTTCAGTGACCGCGCCAATCGGGAGTTCAACCTCAACAGCTATGACACAAAAGAAAAGCTCAAGAAAGCTATATCACGGACGGCGTATATATATGGACGTACGAACACTGCCGACGCTTTCCTAATGGCCAGACGTGATATGTTTGCGCAGCAGTTTGGTGATCGACTAGGTATGTGGTCAATGAATGTCTGTACATACATCCATAGGTAAGGTGCATTAGGATATCTGTCCCTGGGGAACGTTATAGTGGTCATTAAATGGCCAACAGGTTATCTGTCCCTGAGGTACGTTATAGTGGTCGTTAAATGACCAGCAGGTTATCTGTCCCTGAGGTACGTTATAGTGGTCGTTAAATGACCAGCAGGTTATCTGTCCCTGAGGTACGTTATAGTGGTCGTTAAATGACCAGCAGGTTATCTGTCCCTGAGGTACGTTATAGTGGTCGTTAAATGACCAGCAGGTTATCTGTCCCTGGGGTACGCTATAGTGGTCATTAAATGACCAACAGGTTATCTGTCCCTGGGGAACGTTATAGTGGTCGTTAAATGACCAACAGGTTATCTGTCCGTGAGATACGTTATAGTGGTAATTAAATGACCAGCAGGTTATCTGTCCCTGAGGTACGTTATAGCGGTCGTTAAATGACCAGCAGGTTATCTGTCCCTGAGGTACGTTATAGTGGTAATTAAATGATCAGCAGGTTATCTGTCCCTGAGGTAAGTTATAGTGGTCAATAAATGACCAGCAGGTTATCTGTCCCTGAGGTACGTTATAGTGGTCGTTAAATGACCAGCAGGTTACTGTCCCTGAGGTACGTTATAGTGGTAATTAAATGACCAGCAGGTTATATGTCCCTGAGGTACGTTATAGTGGTCGTTAAATGACCAGCAGGTTACTGTCCCTGAGGTACGTTATAGTGGTCGTTAAATGACCAGCAGGTTATTTGTCCCTGAGGTACGTTATAGTGGTCGTTAAATGGCCAGCAGGTTATCTGTCCCTGAGGTACGTTATAGTGGTCGTTAAATGACAAGCAGGTTATCTGTCCCTGGGGTACGTTATAGTGGTCGTTAAATGACCAGCAGGTTATCTGTCCCTGAGGTACGTTATAGTGGTCGTAAAATGACAAGCAGGTTATCTGTCCCTGAGGTACGTTATAGTGGTCGTTAAATGACAAGCAGGTTATCTGTCCCTGAGGTACGTTATAGTGGTCATTAAATGACCAGCAGGTTATCTGTCCCTGATGTACGTTATAGTGGTCAATAAATGACCAGCAGGTTATCTGTCCCTGAGGTACGTTAGCAGCTTATCTGTCTTTAATGACATCTACGTGAACTTGTACATCATTACGTCACTATGACGTTTTATAAAATGACACAAATGACATTTCAGTTTTCTAATCATCCTTTTCGATCCTTACACATGCCGTTCTGATTTGTTTTGCAGATGTACCAATAGTTGGTAAGATACTTCAGTTTTAGTTATCGGCCTTGTTCTATCCTAAATCATGCCATTTCGTTTTATAGATGTACCGAATGTCATCGTCATCATTACGGACGGAGAATCGAACATCAACAATATGAGAACCATACCGGAAGCTATGACCCTTAAACGCGCAGGCGTAACGATCATCACAGTCGCCGTAGGATATGCTGATAGCTCTGCTGAGCTGTTCGGAATCACCTCTAATCCCGTCCGAGACAACTTGATCCGAGTGGAAAACTTTGATGCTCTTGACTTCCTGAAGGACAAACTCATCACGCCATTATGTACAGGTATAAAACTAAAATATATAGGAATACCTAAAACGCAGTTAAACACTCACATGCGTATGATAGAATGCCTTGCTAAGTAGTAGCGGAAATCTTATATTTGTTCATATTGACATATAATCTGTATTAACCTTATCTCCAATTAGATGTGCCGAACAGGGGTAGGAATCATTGGTACTTAAAGGGCCTTGTATGTTGACGCCTTGATACAGTTCGTCTTCTGGATGTTAACACTGTGATATGTTTTGTCCTAGGATGTTGAAACTGTGATATATTTCGACTTTGAGTGTAAACACGTCGGTATAATCTGTCCGTTGTTTAACAATGTAGCACAATTTCTTTCTGCCTAGAATTCAGTAATTATATGAACATAAAAGTTATACTTATTTTTCAAGATGACACACGACGATATATCATATCAAACTTTCTTTATATTACAACAATTATGAACAATGTTATTTCAACTTATATTAATCACTCTATATATCATATTGTTCCTAAAAAACTATTCTTAAAAGTATAGATAATAATTTGGTGCATGGTTAAAACGTTCTTTCTTCACAGACATCAATCTGTGTCAGGAAAACCCTTGTCATAATGGCGGCTTCTGTATCGACGGCCTCCGCAGCTATATGTGTGTGTGTACGGAGGGATATTATGGCGACAACTGCCAGAACAGTAAGTATCCAAATTACTTGCAATTGAAATTAAGAATTATCAGACATTTACCTTTTTTTATTCGACATGACTGAAGGTTTTTAAAATCTTTTTCCATATCTTATGCAATTTTTAAAGAAAACACTATTTCCGTATGCTGGAAAATCTGAAATTTTTAGAGAATCCAGATGTCATAAAATATTGAAACTAACAACGAATACATTGCAGTCGTAAAGGTTGTTGATCGTGATGATAACGTATAGAGTCTAGATACTAATAATAAAGTCATAATAACAATTCGAGCTTCTTATTTACCGCTACAGCACAAATTATAATCCGTGGTTTCAGGGCCTTTGCAACCAGCCAATATCTTTCTCAACTCCCTAGAGAGCATACAGCCGGTGCTGTCATTTCGCGTTCACAGCTAGCATTCTACAATTCTAGCACTGGCCAACCAGTTACTCATTTACAGCTGAGTAGACTGGAACAAGCGGGGTAAAGTATCTTGCTCAAAGAAACAACACAGTACCGTGCCTTGACTCGAACCCGCAACACTTCGGTCACGAGCCCGGCGTCCTACCACCAGACTACGGTGCTTCCTACTTAACTTTCACTTTGCATTGGTGATTTTAAACATAGCATAACCATTGTGTCCTTTCAAATATGTGAGATTTCAGTCACTCGCTAACGCTGTGCACGAAGTCCATTCGGAAGTGAAACAATGAATTAATCAGGGGTTTTTTTACTACTATCGTGTCCCTTTTTCTCATGCTTTTCAAACTTTTTTTTTATTGCAAAAAAAAATCATTTGAGGATCCTTGTATAACGGCCTAAAACTATAAATATGAGTTTAAACTGTTTACCGGCACAACAACAGCTTTAATGTATCGTATCTATAAAGAAGCCAATGATTTCAGGAATGTTTAGAAAAAAATTATTAAGATGAAATTTAAATAATTACTGTTCTTAAAGTAAGTATGCAACGAGCTAGCCCGGGATTAGATCCTAGGATCAACTATCACGATACGGTTGGTATGACCAACTGGGCTACCTTATCAACGATCCAGCCCGGGATTTGATCCTAGGACCTACCATCACAATACGGTTGGTATGACCAGCTGGGCTACCTTATCAACGATCCACCCCGGGATTTGATCCCAGGACCTACCATCACGATACGGTTGGTATGCCCAAGTGGGCTACCTTATCAACGCGCCAGCCCGGGATTAGATCCTAGGACCTACCAACACAATACGGTTGGTATGCCCAAGTGGGCTACCTTATCAACGATCCACCCCGGGATTAGATCCTAGGACCTACAATCACAATACGGTTGGTATGCCCAAGTGGGCTACCTTATCAACGATCCACCCCGGGATTTGATCCTATGACCTACCATCACGATACGGTTGGTATGCCCAAGTGGGCTACCTTATCAACGATACTTCCCTGGGACAGTTCCACTGCAGCCAAATTCGAAACGAAAACGAGATCATTGTATGCATAACAAAACAAACTATGTGGAATTATCTAGTGCTATGTCTGCTGTGAGACAGGAATCCTTGATCAAGTTTGGATTTTACGTGATGTATTATTTGACAAAAGCCTTGTACAGTTTAAATCGTTGAGGCAGGTGAATAAACACAATCGGAGTTGCTGTTTACTTTAGATTGTGTGGTTAGTTTGTAGGAGTTGATATATGTGATTAACCAGTCGATTTAACTTGGAACAAAGTGTACTTAAATCGAGTAAAAATATTCGGTCACGAACTGAACAGAAATCGTGTATTTCTAAAGCGAGACCGACTTGTGCTGTAAGTGGTTCTGTTTCATAAAGATAAGTTTTACGAGTCATAAAGTTAACACATCCAACAAATGAAAATTATCTGAAATATATATATGTATATATATTGTGTTTTCTGTCCGTAGATGATGATTTTGAATATCTATAGAAACATGGTTAGTTTTGATTTTCATTTTTAATTATCATTCACTAGACGGAAGTTTTATGTTTAGCTTCGTTAAGCTAACAAATCACTGAGTTCCTCGACCAAGGTCTTACTGTTATATTTCTATCCCTGAAGCACTTAATAGAAATTGGTTGTTAACCACATACAACGAACCTTCGATACTATTTGCATGCATTGCATCTTTTTTCTCTCCCTTGTAATTATTTCCAAGTATGACTGATTGACAAGCTATTTCCCACACCTGCCAGAGCGATAATTGATAACAGTCAGGGTTGAGAGTATATCGACAAACGGATGGGTCATTATCAAAATCCTATATTGTTCCAATGCACATTCAGCAGACACATGTACCTCTACTTGGAGTGTTCATCAAAGGATACGACTCGGGCTAATGGTCATTGCATAGCAAATTGTATAATATGTGAAAGATATAGAAACACATTCAAAGAGAAATGCGTGTGCGCAACAACTGTAAAGAAAAACAGATCATAATAATTGGAAATAAACAAACATAAATGAGCATAGCAGTTGGTTTCCACACGGTGTGCTTGCGATGTTGCAACGTCAATCATTCGTCCGTCCGTCTCGCGTCAAAATGTTAGGATTTTTTGTTTTCAAACTAAGTTTTGTGAAAGAGTTACCCGGATGCAACATTCGAATCTTAAGCATACTATGGATTTTTCGTAAATAGAGTAGCCTCCCCTTAATTTCGGGCCAGGCCACTTCCGTTGGCCATGTAGCTCGGTGAGATCGACACGTTAACATTTCTAGGTTTGTATTCTGGTCAAGCACCTAAAGCACCTAACCCTAACCCTAACCCTAACCCTAAAGGTTTACAATCAGAACGCTGTTAACATTTCTATTTTCTGTTTATAACCCTTGTTTTTTAAGTCCAGCAAAGGTCAGGTTTCCGAAGTGATTGATCAAATTTAAAGTTATGCCAAAATAATGCTGTTTCCAAAGCGAAACTACAGCTTTTGGAAGTAGTATGAGGATCATTAACGCATTCACCACAGAAGACACATTTGAACTCTCCCAATTCAAAGGTTGGAATAGTTCATTATGAAGTTTCATGGGTGAATGAGTTCAAGAAAACAAGAACTAATAACTTACACTGAAGTTTAAAATTTCAGGGGTGAATGAGTTAAAATGTTTAATTGAACAAAAGACATTGCTTAACTTCCCTTACATTATTCAAAATAGTATCTAAACATATTTGAGAATAAAGTTTACAAGAATGAAAAATACGGCTAGCAAGTATTGTTAGTTTTGTGTAAAATATTTGCGTGTTTTGATAAACATGTCAATAGGGTCAACCAATCAGCGCAGCCATATATATAAGAACGTCACCTGTCACGCCATATATATAAGAACGTCACCTGTCACGCCATATATATATATTTACATTTGCCCCCTCGCCGTCCCATCACAACAGTGTTAGAGGCAAGTGTAATTATATAGGCTATAATTACAACTGCTCGACTATAATTGCAACTGCCTATTTCAGGTGTAGGAATATGTAAACAAACAAAATAGCCGCCTGAAATGAATTTTGAGGCAGGACAAATGGTTTTTGTAGGAATATGTCTTAAAGAGAAAAATATGTAAATATAAAAAAAATATCTGGTTGTCTGGATGTAATTATTGTTGATGTAATTACAAGTGGCCTCTGGCAAATCTACCATAAACCCCTAGCGGGTTTTATGGGATTTGCCAGAGACCACTTGTAATTATATCAACAATAATTACATCCAGACAACCAGTTATTGTTTAAAAGAACGTCACCTGTCACGCCATATATATAAGAACGTCACCTGCATGACTTTATGAAATTATTAGACGTACAGTAAAACTGATATATATGTTTTAAAAAAAATAGTTGTCTGAAAATATAAGAAAGTTTTAAAGAAATATTCCGACGAATAAAATCTTCATGCAATCCTGTTGGCAGCTTTGATATCGTTTGGTGTTATTTTCCCGAGTAATGGACGAAATGCTGGTCCGCATAATAATGAATCGGAGGTTTCAAGATTGTCTGGTATATAATTCTACCTAACCAGAGATATTACCTGGCATGTGGAGTTTACATGTTCACAAACCACAGGTGCGATATACCCTGTATAAAGTCCCTTGTATGTTCCTCAGCGAGTGATGGTTGGTTAGTATTAACCATTGTTACGTTATACACAAAGTACGTAATAAACGGGCTATCTTTGTCAGCTTAACGAAGGGACCAGTCGGTCTTGAAACGTCGCGACACGTTCAATACGTACCTTGTTCGTGTAAAAAGTCAAACTTTGTTATTAAAAGTATCCAGCTGATGAACATTATTGAAGATTTATGGTTGGTTATCATGTGTATCTAACTCGAGGTAGTTAATGATCAAATTGTTTAAAGACACTCGGAAACTTCGTGTCTTAATAATTTGGAAATTAACTAACGATAGTTTGATACACATGATAACCAACCATTTATCTTTAGTAATATTCATCAGGTGGAAATTTATAATATCAAAATTCACTTTATACACCGAGCTCTCGACCGAACGGTTGCGGGTTCGAGTCATGGTACGGCACTGTGTTGTATCTTTGAGCAAGATACTTTACTCCGCTTGTTCTAGTCTACTCAGCTGTAAATGAGTATGTGGCTGGGCAGAGCTAGAATTGTTGAATGCTAGCTGTGAGCGCCGGAAGGACAGCACCGACTTATGCTCTCTAGGAAGTTGAGAAAGATATTGGCTGGTTGCGAAGGCCCTAAAACCACGGATAATAATTTGTGAACCGCTTTGAGACGACCTACGAACTAGGTTGTGATAATGCGGTATATAAGAACCTCGAATTAATTTTTTTATTATTATATAGAGGGTAAACAAAATAAATTGATCAAGTCATTGCAGGTCTACCCATTAAGAAGAGATTGCGGAAACCTATAGCGGTTGTAGCAGGTGAAACCTACATGATGATAATGTTGAGGGGAAAATAAACTAATGTATGTAACCTGTTCCTCTGTTACAGCTTGTGGGCAGCCTGCAGACGTAGTGTTCATGTTGGACTCGTCCACGAGTATCGGCCAGAGCACCTTCCAGAGGATGAAGACCTATGCCGAGGAGCTCGTGCGCAAGATGAATGTTGAGTCATGTGACATCCAGGTTGGAGTGATGAAGTACAGCTCCGCGTCCATGGTGCAGTTCAATATCGGAGCCTTCAGGTAGTGACATCTCCATACTAGCAGAAAAGTGTTACGCTTCAAGTCGGCTTTGCGGAAGAACCGAGGCTTTGCTCCAAAAACATAGCATCTTATCTTTATTTTGTTAATCTTAGATTGCAACGTATGTGTCAGTATTTGAAATGTTAGAAATATATGTATATAGATATATGGATAGAAAAAGTATATTTATATCACCTTCAGTTCTGGCAGACCGCGAATAAATGCATACTTCAATATACTAATTATAAATAGGCCACTATACTCACATATGTTTATCTCATGGATAACAACAAAATTTTACTCGACAAAAAATAGTTCATTTTAGGAGATTCTAAAGCGCTTTACAGTACATATATATACAATTAACACAATAAACGTATTCATTAATCAACACAATTTTGAAAAATGTGCAGGTTAACTGCTTATCAGACACTAACTACTTCAGGAGATTTTTTGATTCATTTTCATGAGGTATAAACGGTTATATTAAAACGATTATATATTTTCAAAATAATTACTAAGTCGTTCATTTAAAACCAATCTTACTTATAACAGGGACACGGAGACAATTTCACGGGCCATCGACGCCATTCACTACACCAGAGGTCAGGCCAATATGGCGTCTGCCTTCGAGACGGTGCGGAAGAACATGTTCAATGGCGGAAGTGACAGGCCGGATATACGTAACATCGCGTACCTACTTACAGACGGCTCTGTAGAAATTAACGCCGACACTACCATGCAGGAAGCAGAACTAGCAATTAACTCTGGTATCAGGATTGTCCCCATCGGCATCGATCTCAGAGTGAAGGCGGATGTGGAGAATATCGCTAACGTACAGGGAGGTAACACCATTGAAATTAACGGAGCGGACGGATTACGGAACGGACTAGCTGACCAGGTTTTAAGGCCAGTGTTTGAAGGTAAACAAACGTTATTTATTATTTAGAAATATCAGTATGCGTAAATGATGAAAATAAGACTAACAAGCCATATGCTAATTTCACGACAATGAAAATCGTGGGTAGAGTGTTTTTCCGTTTTTTTTTTTTTCGGGTTTTTTTGCGCCAGTTTCACTTTAAATAAAGTAGACTATACTTCCGTTAAATTTAATTTGAATGTTTATATGAATCTTAGGATTGTGTATAGCTTACGCGGATTGTTTATAGCTTACGCGGATTGTGTATAGCTTACGTGGATTGTTTATAGCTTACGTGGATTGTTTACAGCTTACGTGGATTGTTTATAGCTAACGCGGATTGTTTATAGCTAACGCGGATTGTTTATAGCTTACGTGGATTGTTTATAGCTTACGCGGATTGTTTACAGCTTACGCGGATTGTTTATAGCTTACGTGGATTGTGTATAGCTTACGCGGATTGTGTATCGCTTACGTGGATTGTGTATAGCTTACGCGGATTGTGTATAGCTTACGTGGATTGTGTATAGCTTACGCGGATTGTTTATAGCTTACGCGGATTGTTTATAGCTTACGCGTATTGTTTACAGCTTACGTGGATTGTTTATAGCTTACGGGGATTGTTTATAGCTTACGCGGATTGTTTACAGCTTACGTGGATTGTTTACAGCTTACGTGGATTGTTTACAGCTTACGTGGATTGTTTATAGCTTACGTGGATTGTGTATAGCTTACGTGGATTGTGTATAGCTTACGTGGATTGTGTATAGCTTACGCGGATTGTTTTCAGCTTACGCGGATTGTTTACAGCTTACGTGGATTGTTTACAGCTTACGTGGATTGTTTACAGCTTACGCGGATTGTTTATAGCTTACGTGGATTGTGTATAGCTTACGTGGATTGTGTATAGCTTACGCGGATTGTGTATCGCTTACGTGGATTGTGTATAGCTTACGCGGATTGTGTATCGCTTACGTGGATTGTGTATAGCTTACGCGGATTGTTTATAGCTTACGCGGATTGTGTAAAGCTTACGCGGATTGTGTATAGCTTACGTGGATTGTGTATAGCTTACGTGGATTGTGTATAGCTTACGTGGATTGTGTATAGCTTACGCGGATTGTGTATCGCTTACGTGGATTGTGTATAGCTTACGCGGATTGTGTATCGCTTACGTGGATTGTGTATAGCTTACGCGGATTGTTTTCAGCTTACGCGGATTGTTTACAGCTTACGTGGATTGTTTACAGCTTACGCGGATTGTTTATAGCTTACGCGGATTGTGTAAAGCTTACGCGGATTGTGTATAGCTTACGTGGATTGTTTATAACTTACGTGGATTGTGTATAGCTTACGCGGATTGTGTATCGCTTACGTGGATTGTGTATAGCTTACGCGGATTGTGTATAGCTTACGTGGATTGTTTATAGCTTACGCGGCTTGTTTATAGCTTACGCGGATTGTGTATAGGTTACGTGGATTGTTTATAGCTTATGTGGATTGTTTACAGCTTACGTGGATTGTTTATAGCTAACGCGGATTGTTTATAGCTTACGCGGATTGTGTAAAGCTTACGCGGATTGTGTATAGCTTACGTGGATTGTTTATAGCTTACGTGGATTGTGTATAGCTTACGTGGATTGTTTATAGCTTACGTGGATTGTTTATAGCTTACGCGGATTGTTTACAGCTTACGCGGATTGTTTACAGCTTACGCGGATAGGTTTTAAGCTTAGGAGGATTATATGACATTAAGCCTGTATAATAGTTAGAAGGATGGTATCATACACTGTAGTTGAGACGGATATTGTTTCAACTTAGGAATGATTGTATCATAGCCTATACGAATTGTTTCCACGGCGATGTCAAGAAAACATATTTCATTGACCTTGCGTACTCAACCGATATTATAATAATAGAGATGATCAGTGAATGTTAATCATTGTACATTGTAATATATTTTGAAATTAAAATAAGAATCTGTAACCCCACCCCCCAAATTTGGAACAGTCGCCTTCAGCTAATGTTTCCTCGACTACATACACATTTTTTTTTTACTCTTTATTTTTTAAGCTAATTTGAAGAAAAATTCCTTACAACTTTTTTTCAAACTGACGCACATTTAAATAAGATAAGACCTGCTGTATTCCATATCATTTTATCGGAACAGACGTCAGATGTGAGGCAGATTCGGTGTCGTAATAAATGTGTTTGTATTACAGATATGAGTTACTGTGACACTAATCCCTGCAGTAATGGCGGCCAGTGTCGAGAGAGCGGAAACGGATATGTCTGTGACTGTGTCCCTGGATACACTGGAGACACGTGCGACAAACGTGCGTAACCTAGCAACTTACCAACTATTAACCATGTTGTTTTCTAATTCATAAATAGATGTTTAAATGTATGAGCATTGATTTTTTTCATGAATTATAATATTTCCATCGGTAAATGTGTATTTCAATATACTTTGTATATATAGGAGTTGCTGTTTCATATTTTCTAATGTTTTATCACTCCATCTTAAATATAACACTGTAATTAGTTAGGATTGGTATATATATTCCACGCAAAATATATTTTGATACAAATGTAATTATTAAGTTTACCATTCGCGAAGATAACTCATTGTATATGGACTATGGAATGTCAAACTTGTTCACTCCTACAGGATGTGACGCGAAGGCAGATGTTGTGTTTGTGGTAGACACTTCGCGTTACGTCAGCCGGAAGGAACTACGCAGTGTCAAGCGATTCCTACGCAGTGTCATCAAGAGAATGCAGTTTAAACGACACAAGTTCAGAGCAGGCATTGTCAGCTTTGCCAAATACTCGAGGGTCCAGCTTACATTGAGCAAGACGTCCAAAAAGAAATCGATTCTGTCCATAGTGTCTGGACTCAGGTAATTACCACATACCGTCTGTCACGTGACCACTTTCAGGTGACATCGTATTACAATTAGTATATATACCAAAACAAACACATAATACACGTAATGGTCAAGCACAACAACATACCCTGTCTCCTGCATACACACACGCAATCAACCGTACACTGCACACATGGAGGCATGTCCTTAGCTGTTAATAGGACGTTAAGGAAAATTAAACCAGACCAAACCATTACATTACACTATGATAGTGCTTTAACCGTATCCTTGAGTAACACTGGTGGGGCATGCAAGCGTCCATTATTAATTTATGTTTTAGGATTAATAAGTTTTAAATCACCAAGTCTGTGATTATGTTATATCATTTGCTATTTATTATCTAGGTAGGACATGTTAGCAATGACTGTGATTTTCTGTACGTGTATACTTATCCTACACAGATTCTGTGTTGTTTTATAATTGTTGTAACTTTATTATAAATAGTGTACATTTTATCATGTTTTACCATATGCAAGGCGAGTCTTTGGCTCAATGTGTCAGCAAGTCGAAATAACGATTATCATATTCTGATATACAAAGAATAAGTTGCATAAAACATTTTACTAACGTTACTCCCGGACATATTTCCAGTCTGTATATAATATAGATTTACCAACATTCCAAGATAGATATTAAAATATTTGATTGTTATAGACTAGTTACATCCCAAACATAATGATTTGTAATGGTCATTTAATCGTAGCCAATATTTATATATCTGCTTATTTCTAAAACAAACAGTAAATCTATATATCTATATTCTTGGGGCGATCGAAAAGTTTGCAAGGGCTAAAATTGATAGAGAGATAAGTTTTATTTTGATATAAGGGTTTATCTTAAACAGATCATTTGCATGTACTTTCATTTCTATGGAAATGTTCGTTCTGTTCCTCAGCTATTGCCCTGAAATGACCCTAACACTGAGTGATGTCTGATAACATAGTATCTGTCCACATCGTCATATAACACTCTAGCCTAACTGATATACAAAAGGGGTCTGCCATGTCCTCAACATCAGACCTACCTACGCCCCTTTGCTTGACTAGGTAACCGAACACCGATACAATTTGTTCGTCATTTAAAACTGAATTAAAACGTTTGTGTCGTTTTTCTCGAGCCCTATTTGATATTAACAGAATTGAGCGACCCGTGTCACGGAATACAATTATAGGATCTCCTTTCATACAAATTGAAAACCACTCAAGCATCACTATACATGTCACCGTCACTGTACGCCATTTCTCGAATTTTACTGATGATAACTTGGTGCTTTCTTGTAAAGAAGTAATACTATGTAAAACAACAAGCGTATTACATCCGTAATATATAGTGATTCCACAGTATTACATCCGCTTGTTAGTAATATATAGTGATTCCACAGTATTACATCCGCTTGTTAGTAATATATAGTGATTCCACAGTATTACATCCGCTTGTTAGTAATATATAGTGATTCCACAGTATTACATCCGCTTGTTAGTAATATATAGTGATTCCACAGTATTACATCCGCTTGTTAGTAATATATAGTGATTCCACAGTATTACATCCGCTTGTTAGTAATATATAGTGATTCCACAGTATTACATCCGCTTGTTAGTAATATATAGTGATTCCACAGTATTACATCCGCTTGTTAGTAATATATAGTGATTCCACAGTATTACATCCGCTTGTTAGTAATATATAGTGATTCCACAGTAAGCGACTTTCATTTTTTTTATATTAACTTGCTGAAGTTTATAGCTGAGTGGGCTTTTAGGTTAACTTATTCTTATACTGGACCCTCGAGTATTTGTCTTATACAACGGTCAGTCGTTGCGTTTAATTTTCATTTTTCTGTTAAAAGTCGATGATAAATACTTCTATCTTTAAAACGTTCATTGTGGTTTAACATTGTATTCAAATGAGGAGCACTGAGTTCCACAATAATGATTTCAACCAATTTAACAAAATTAACCAGTTCTTAATCAACCAGCTGATCAATATTCATGGTTAAAAAAACACTTCAGCCGTTTAGTGGCTAGCCATGGAGTTGCAAACAAGAGATTTAGGGCAATTTGCATATATTTCAGTGTACATGTTTCAACCATAAAAAAATCATTGCCATTGAAAATGCTTAGAATGATGAAATCGAAAATCGGTGATAACGACATTCCATAGTTACATCGAAAACGAGGCGCCGCCATATTGCAAAACGAAATGGTAATTTTACGAGAGATACCACTTTTTTTCTAAATCATCCTATTTCATTTCAAAAAAGAATATAGAATTAAAAAAGGGTATGGGCGGTCTAAAGGCAACATAGAGAAACAAACAGATGTATGTTTGGTAAACTATTGTGCTCAATAAAGGAAATTAGTTCCGATAGAAAGAAAGATAGTAGAATGTAAGAAAGATAATGGAATATATAATCAAATGTTTCTAACGCACGAAAGGACTATATGCAATAAATGGTATTCCTTTGACATACATAATAAGAGACCTGAGAACTTGTTTTATTCTTAAAAATCACCAATGTATCTGACAACTCTTAGTGTAACACTGTACTAACGGGTTTTGTTACAGCAAAGATTGGCACTCATTTAAGAATAGCTGAATTATGGTAAAATCTTTCTAATTCTGTACACTACTGATAAGCAAATGTATTATAGTGACTGTGTTGAAGTGGTGATGTCTCCAATTATATTGCAGTGTGTCTGTGTGAGAGGTGAACAGAAGGATGAAACCCTTGTCACCCACTTGTCATCCCATCCTTAATGTGAAGTGTACTGGTACCATATACATCACAATCATACATCTAACACTGTCAATAAACCTGAACATTTAGGTGACCAATTTCTGAATTTAGAATTATTCATCCTCTTATCCGTCCAGAAGTACATTCATTTGTTCATTTGTTCGGTCAAATCATCTGTTCCTTCGTTTGTTGAATCATCTGTTTATTTGTTTGGTAGGCACGGTAGTCTAGTGGTAGGACGCCCAACATATAAACAAAATGGTTTATAGAAATACACAACCGCCTTGAAAATATTTAGTTGAAGAAATGTGCCGTCATTGTAACGTTATAACATACATTTTTTTATATACATATGTATTGTTTAATATAACATATTTTCGGAAAATGTGCCCCTATTCCATAAATAATACAATAAGACATGATAACATCAATTATGTTTTTACCTTTGCCTCTACTTGGGCAGTCGCCAGGTACTGTCCGCGGGTCGCTGGGTTTTCTCCGGGTACTTCTGCTTCCCTCCACCACCAAAAACTGCCACTTCCTTAAATGGCCATAGCTGTTAATAGGACGTAACGCACAATCAATCCTCTTGTTTCCTTCTGTCGTATCGCGTCCGTTCCTGTTGTTAATTTAGACTTTGAGACAGATTAGTTTACTGACACACTGCCTGCTGCTGCTGTGCTGTGCCAGTGTTTTGGGTATAACATCACTGTACCCAAAACGAAACCCTGTTGAGATAAATATCGATGTTCTTGATACCATACTATCAATTCCAAAAATGTTTGTTCACCCATTTTCATAAATAGATACTATCCATTTTCATTCCTATTACAAGTTGGTATTTCCGGCGCGAAGTACTATCGGATTCCTGTAGGCCCTTTTAACAGGTGTTACGGTACACTGAAAGGGAAACTTGGGTATTTTGTCTAACATTGGGGGATAAACGATCAATTTCAATGTATGCTTAGTTCAAATACCTTAAAGTATAAGGGAATTCTGATCCAATTTCTTCTCCAAACCAGCATTAACCATGATAAAATAGTCTTTTTGAAAATGACTTCAAAACAAATAGCGTCGCATAGCACGTAAATCATGAGGCTTATAAAGCTTATCTACAGGTAAATTGTCATAAAAAGTACCAGCAAGTGAAACTGCATGCATAAAAGTACTTCTTTGCATTGCATGACAACTTCCTGGGCTGTTTTCCCACAAGTGTTCCGTTTTAGGTACTGTCTTGTTTTAGATACTGTCTCGTTTTGGGTTGGGTTCAGTCCCATTTTGGGTACAGCCCCATTTTGAGTAGAGTGCCGCTTTGGGTACTATCCCGATTCGGGTACAGTGCCGTTTTCGGTTCTGTCCCGTTTTGGGTACAGTGACGTCGGATAAATGCATTTTAAAACCTATCTAGAATTTACCTTCGTTATTAATAACTTGCAAACATTCCCTTGACACAGGAGCAAAGGAGCCTACGATCCCAACCCAGCAGAGGCTTTGAGGAAGGCAAATCTGCGCGTTCTACCAAATTCCAGGTCACAGGTCCCAAGATACGTAGTCTTCATCACCAAGAGCATGCGCGACGAGAATAACATAATCAAACAAGCCAACAAAATCAAGATGAGAGGTGTCAATGTCATTGGTATTGGTAAGTACAAAATGTTTCAAGACGAAAAGCAGTTCAGTACTAACGTTTAGGGTTAGGGTCACTTCAGACATTTCAATGATTTGCTTTTATATCCAAGTGAAATAATATCACTTTCATGACGTGTACGTTTGAGATGTTTTGCGGACCGAACACCGCATAACACGTGTGCTAGGATGTAGCTGAACTGTTCGAGGAAATAGCGATAACATTTTAACACATTTGAGAAATGGAAAAATTCCTTGATAAATATATCTTGGAAAATAATTGGTTATGAAGAAAATTGAATAACTTGAAATAATTGAAATGGGGAAATTGGAAGAATGATTTAGTAAAGATATATGTAAAACAAATTTTAAAAAAGACTGGAAAACAATTATTAAGATAATTAAGAAAACTAAGTTGGTGGATGTGAATACGAGTTCTGTCCCGTTTTATATACAAATGCAATACGTTTTTGTCCACAGGAATCGACCTGAGTTCATCAGACCAAGAATTCATGAAGTCAGCCGTCTCTATGCCGCCAAACAAATTCATGCACCTCAGCGACACTGTTGATGGTCTGACCGACATATCCGACAATATCATGAGTTTCTTGTGTAATGGTATGTATACCTGTAAACGTGTGTGGTCTTAATGGAAATGTGTCTCCATTCATAAGAGTTCTGATTTCAGGGAATAACAAAGTTGACTTTGTACGTAAAATATAAGATACACAATTCGATATCAACGCTCATGTAGAAATTCTAATATTTAATATAACCATATTGGGTGACAAAACTGGTTCGCAGGTCACGAGAGTGATGTGGTAGAAAGTGCATATATGACAAATCTACTGCAAATAAGAGGTTTAATGGTTTCAGTCAATTATACTTATATTTCAAACAACAATCACAGGTATATTATATGGTGTGATATAGCCTTTAAAAGAACATTATGTGTAAGGTACCATTTATTCACAAGGAATATAATTATAATGGTAATAACAGGTATAGTGTGTAGTATAGAGTATACCATTTAATAGGGGAGACAAATTTAACGTTAATTACAGGAATAATGTAACATATACACAAAGGGAAGATAACTCCTACGCTAGTTAAAGGTATAGAATAATAACGATAATAATATGCAACATTTATATAACGCCCTATATAATTTGTAAAATTACTCGAAAGCGCTTTATTTCTCATGAATAATAGAATGTTTACATTGACAGTTATAGATATTGTAGATAAAAAAGCGTAACGTTTGCAATATCAATACGTAAATATTTCAATCATATATATATGTAAGAAGGGCATATATATATCTATTAAAAGGTATGCCTGTGTGAGGTAGTATATATACCCAAAGGGAGCTACCCTCAACACAAATCAACGGTATAGTTAATACCGTAGCAAATGAATTTGTTGTTAAAACGCTTTTATAATCCAATATTTACTTTAAGTATTGATACCAACGTTACCACGATCATGGACTATGACGTCATACTGATATTGACGCTAACAATAGGATAATGGAATGTATAGCTGATGGTAAACCATCTGAAGTAAGTAGATCTATATAATTTCATTTGCAAAGAAAGGCAAAACGAATGCAGTACTATCTACAACGTAATCACCATCACGTTTTGTCGTTTCAGAGAACGACCCGTGCTCAGATAGCCCTTGCCAGCACCGAGGTGAATGTGTTAGCGCCCACGGGGAGTATTACTGCAAATGTCCCCGAGGATACGCCGGCAAAAACTGTGATATACGTAAGTCTTCAATCAAAAATACAACTCACGGAAGTTAATATTCGGTGCATAATAAATGAGCTGGAAGACAGTCTACTTAAATCCAAATATTGGCGCCACACGTTTTGGCATCGTGAATTTTTGGTGTGTTTAATTTTGACTCATTCTCTCCAAGTGTCAAATTAAAACCAAAATTTAACCAAATCCGCAAAAAGTACGGTAGTCATACACTTTGTAATTGAGATATATTTGGTTGATACAAGAGAGGTAGCCGTGCAACAGCACACTAGAATCCAGCTTCGTAGAAAGCTTATCAACTTGAAGATATATTAACCTAAATGTATCTAGTAAAAATAAATACTGCATAAGAAAACGATTTTATTAAGAGGATGCACGAATAAGACAAATTCTCTTACTTTAAGATAGAAAGACCCTTTTTCTATGTTCATCGATGCTTTTCCTTCGCTATACATGCATTTTAATCGTAACAGCGTGCTCAGCGAAGGCGGACATTGCTTTTGTCCTGGACGCATCCGGAAGTGTTGGTGCGCAGAACTTCCGGCGAGTGAAGCATTTCGTTACTAAGGTGATTGACGAGCTTGCGATTGGATATGATGTCGCCCGAGTTGGCGCGGTTTCCTACAGTTCGCGAAGCTACATGGGATTCTACATGGATCAGTACACAGAAAAGGAGGCTATCAAGAATGCTATTGCCGCTCTAAGCTACGAGTACGGAAATACAAACACCGCAGCAGGTCTGCGTACAGCACGCACTCGTATATTGACGGAAAAGAGAGGAGACAGATCGAACGTCAAAAATTACGGTAAGTATATTACCATGTAATACGAATATACTGCAAAGGACTAATGTTAAGCAGATCTTTTATTTTCATGGTTTTTAATAGACAGATCAAATCTGCGAAACAAATACCTCACGTAGCATTTTCAATAGAGTTAGTTTGAACTATTGAAAAATGAATATAAAACGTAAAATTTTAACTTTTTTTTTAAAGAATTGAAATAGCAAATGTGGTTCTTACGAACCAAAGTTGCAAACAGTATTTAAAATTATATTATTATTGTGTAAACAATATGCCGTAATACGTTTGTAAACTGGGTATAAAAAGTTATATATTAAATAAAACAGCAAAATGGTGTGTACAAGGGGATCCATAATTATCGGAATAGCAATTTGTGTTTTTATTCTGCAATGAAAAAACCTAGCTTCCTGTTAATTTTATTGAATTAATTAACAAATTTGCTTAAAGGTTGTATTACAGGTTACCAACAGTATAGTTCACAATGCATTACTAACGGTATTTAAGTAGTGGATCAGGAGGGAGTTTCTGAGCTACTTAGTATTTAACACCTTATTCCGTCTTAGCGTATTGCAGAGTTATCTGCACTTGTGAGCAGGTATTGGTTGTTACGTCATTTGTTTGTGAGAGTAACGTCATCAATTTTTGAGAAAACGACGTAATTTGCTCACACAAACCAATGACGTAACAATCAATATCTGCTCACAAGAGAAGGTCACTCTGCAATACGCAAAGACGGATTATCACCATTTCCGGTGTTGGAACACAGCATACTAGGTTAATATAAACATGTTGTTTATTTATATCGATCACCAATTTTTATTTTGTATCTATAATTAGATAAAAAAAAATCAAGATCAAATATTTTCTCCGTTATATTAATTCTTAAACTCGTGTCTATCACCTTCCAGTTGTCGTAGTAACGGACAGTATCTCCAACGTGAACCAGGAGAAGACGCTACCTGAGGCTCAGAAGTTGAAGGATGCCGGTGCGCATGTATTCAGTGTTGGTATCGGTAGTTTTGACCCGTACGAGCTAAGAGCCATGGCTTCTGAGCCGGCAGATTCCAATACCTTTGTGTTCAACGACTTCGTGAGCTTAGCGAACTTCTCGCAGACATTCGTACGAGCTACGTGTGTTCCAGGTTTGTTTTTAGTGTTTGTGTTTTTGTTTTCCTTTGAAAACTGTACTGTTATTTAGACTAGTATATTTTATTTTCATTTTATCTGTGTTACGATGTTGCAAACCGATCAGATAATATGAAGACATAGCATTTGCCCTTTAGAAAACAGGATGTTGTTTGTCAACAGATTTGTTTGTGTTATGTCTATTGTTTGAAGGTTTGTTTTAATGGACCATACATTAGTTATATTTCATGGGTGTCTCCACAGTAACTGTAATTTATTTTTGATGGTCCATTAGTTCTATTTCATGGGTGTCGCCAGGGTAATTGTAATTTATTTTTTATGGTCCATTAGTTCTATTTCATGGTAGTCTCCATGGTAAATGTAATTCATTTTTAATGGTCCATTAGTTCTATTTCATGGGTGTCGCCATGGTAATTGTAATTTATTTTGATGGTCCATTAGTTCTATTTCATGGGGGTCTCCACGGTAACTGTAAACAAATTTTGATGATCCATTAGTTCTGTTTCCTGGGTGTCTCCGCGGTAATTGTAATGTATTTTTGATGGTCCATAAGTTCTATTTCATGGATGGCTCCAAGGTAACTGTAATTTATTTTTGATGGTCCATTAGTTCTATTTCATGGGAGTCTCAAAGGTAACTGTAATTTATTTGTAATGGTCCATTAGTTCTATTTCATGGGTGTCGCCACGGTAACTTAAATTTATATTTGATGGTCCATTAGTTATATGTCATGGGTGTCTCACCGGTAACTGTAATATCGTTTTGATGATCCATATTAGTTCTGTTTCATGGGTGTCTCCACGGTAACTGTAATGTAGTTTTGATGGTTCATTAGTTATATTTTGTGGGGGTCTCCACGGTAACTGTAATTTATTTTAATGTCCATTAGTTTTATTTTGCGGTGGTCTCTATAATTACTGTAGCTTATTTCTGTACCGACTTTAGGTTCAAAATATGTATTAACGTATACTAATTGTTCACACTTTATCTGTTTTTCAAACAAAGTCGATTCTATAAGACGTCATGATTTGTTGATCCATTGTGCTTTATGACGTATGATGTATTTAAGATGTGCCGTATTATTATAGTGTCTTTTTCTATTTTAGATGTTTATAACGTGCTAATAGGTTATTTTTATTATAGGACATGTGTTGTGTGACGTCATGATGTGCTTAAACATGATGCTACTTTTTCTTTCTGAGTCGATGTTGTGTGACGTCATGATGCATTGATACGTGATGTTCCTTTTTTATGTCGGAGTAGGTACCTAGTGACGTCATGATGTGTTTAAACGTGATGTTACTTTTTATTTCAGAGTCGGTGTTGTGTGACGTCAACAGGTGTAAGAACGGAGGAGTATGTGTGCCGGGTATAAACTCTTTCTCCTGTAAATGTCCACGGGGATACAACGGACCTACCTGTGAAATGGGTACGAATTATAGTTTTTCAAGTGTGACTGAAATATATTTTAGTGGTTTCATGTATCGTTGTCCCGCAAACGTTAAATTATATCACTAATGACTTCATATTGATTTAAGCAATCAAGTTTTATGGATTGGTTTCTTAAACAACCGAAAATTCGAAATATGGCTTAGTATTACAAGGATTGTATATCTCGATAAATAACTCAGTTTCTCGATGTATCGAAATGATAAGAAATAGAGTGTTAATCATATAAAAGTTGGGTCATTTGTTCGAATTTTAAGTCAAAAAGTACATTATTTACCAGTGATAACGTTCCGTTTCGAATCATTGTGTATATTATAATTGACTTCATAATTTGATGATAAAACACTGTTGCAAATACGATTGCTTTAGTAACAGTTGCCATAGTAACGGTTGCCTTAATAACAGTTGCCGTAGTAGCGGTTGCCCTAGTAACAGCTGCCATAGTTACGGTTGCCATAGTAACAGTTGCCGAGTCAAGAGTTAATGAAAGCAACAGATTGATATGTACCACTTCATAGACTATATACAAATATATCAAGAATCGATTATTGCTGTATTCTGACCTGTTTTCTGTTTTTCAATGTATGGCGATACACCTTTTCTCCCACAACCTGTCTCGGTTTTCTCACTCCCGACTCATTAAACAAATGGAGTTGGTAAACACTCCTGTTTACCCACTAGTGAGTAAGACCCTGGACGTAATTTTATTGGTAAATCTTCTAACTATAACGACCAGTAACAATACATTGCGACGTCATCCTCCGTTCTGACGTCATAGTTCATAGCAAATTTTCCCCGATCGGAAACAGGAATAATGTTTTCCCAACAGAAACTAATGGTTTTTCAGACGTTAATGTCTTAACATTGTGGGAAGAAAAGCCCCCAAACTAGTGGTCGTCGATTGCCATGTTCATATTACTCTCGTTGGTTAATATTTCAAATTGTAAAAGACATTCGGTACAACTCGTATCTTTATAATCACCAACACTTGTTTAATGGCATTTACTGACAGTTTTTTTGGTACAGGATTAATATCCTTTTCATCAGTCTTGAACATAACAAAACATACATGTTAGTAATAAATAGATTAATATATATTTTGGTGTTTATTTTCCCCCTAAATAGCCAATATATGGAAGTGATATAGTAAGTGTTGAGTGAGGACAGATTCTATTTAGAGAGTATTTCGTGTTGAGGACAGAATCCATCTAGAGAGTATTTTGTGTTGAGGACAGATTCCACTTAGAGAGTATTTTGTGTTGAGGACAGATTCCACTTAGAGAGTATTTTGTGCTGAGGACAGATTCCATTTAGAGAGTATTTTGTGTTGAGGACAGATTCCACTTAGAGAGTATTTTGTGTTGAGGACAGATTCCACTTAGAGAGTATTTTGTGTTGAGGACAGATTCCATTTAGAGAGTATTTCGTGTTGAGGACAGATTCCATTTAGAGAGTATTTTGTATTGGGGACAGATTCTATTTAGAGAGTATTTCGTGTTGGGGGAAACATTCCATTTAGAGAGTACGTGTTTGCATTTTTCATATGTCTTCAAACATGTGATGTTTATAGCTTTGTATACAAAATCCACGTAATTTATTTCTTGTGACTTTTGTGGTTTAATACATACATGAAAATATTTTCTTCGTGTCAGTTGTGATTTCTACATATTATCTTAATGAAAATATATAATTATTAATATCTATTTTAGAATGCATTACCAGGAAGGACGTCGTGTTTGTATTGGATTCCTCGTCCAGTGTCGGTAAGGAGAACTACCAGACCATGTTGGACTTTGTCAAGGCGCTGGTAGAAGAGCTAGCGGGAGCTTCCTTCAACAACCGATTTGGAATGATCGTGTACAGTACTGAAGTTAGGCTTATCTTCAGTCTGGGCAGGTACAAAAACGCGGCAACCATTGGCAATTCAGTGGGAAGCACTAGGTATTACCCTGGCTCCACCAATACCGCCGGTGGACTCCGAACGGCATTAGAGATTTTAACCAATGCCTACGGAGCTAGACGAGACGCCGAAGACATTGTTATTCTCATCACGGACGGTCAGTCAAATGTTAACTCGCACGACACCATACCGGCCGCAGAGGAGCTGAAGGGAACCGGCGCACGCGTATTGACCATCGGAATCGGACTGACCGATTACAGTGAGGTGGCACAAATAGCCTCGACGCCAGAGGATGTCTTCAAAGTGTCCAGTTATAACGTACTGCATGACATTAAGACCGACATCTTAGACAGTTCCTGTAGCACCAATGGCTACAGTGGCAAATGATTGAAATCGACACGTTAAAATCACAATTATACTTGCAGATATGTGACAATTATATATCAAATTTGTTTTATAGTATCGCTTACTTGATTATGAATGAAATGTGGAGCGAAATGTGACATATTGTACCGAGTTCTATAATGTTTGCTTGTTTAATCCGGTGCCGTGCTATCACAGTTGTCGTTCTTGGTCCCTTGCAATAGGGATTTTTACTAAATAGATTCTTTTGAATCGGGTAATCATCAATGTTGCAGTACACAAGAATCTTGTATTTATAAGCTTACTGAAGAATGCATTTCATTTTTATACAAAGAGTTTGACATTGAATAAGCAGTTAATATGACAATCGAAAACCATGACAAACTAACGTCCAGTGTATTTAATGAAAAATTGAATGTTTTAAATATCAAACGAAATTAAACTGAAACAAAACGTCTTCAAAACTGATATTTAACGTTGACATTTTTTTTTTAGTTATTTTTGAAGAAAAAAAATGGCCTGTAAAACGCCAACAAAAATGTGATATTTCGATAAAATGTGTATGAAATCCACTAGATTGATGAACACTGATATTGTTGTAATTTGTACATGGAGATAATGTTTTTTGTCATGCAATGTTCAATATGCCAGTATACTGTCAATCAAAATATCATTTTCATTATATTATAGTACATTATATTACGTATGATAGATTATGTGAATTCCATAAGACATTATATTAATACAAAAGATGTCGTTATGATTTAATCGGAAGTGTCATTATGTCACATCCGGTCATGTGTATATTGATGCGTAAGTGTTTATACAAGTGGTGTACTGTAGGATTTTGTAAGATGGCAAAATCACTTCAAATATATATGTTGAGAGTATGTTTTACTTATATAGTATATATATATATATAATATTTAACACTCTACCTTGTACTGAGAGACGATAGATTATTATATACATATAGACGTAGGTATCTGATTGGCACCCTAAATGATATTTCGCACTGTAATATTTAAAATAAATCTTTCTTGGTCAATTTGTTCGAATCGTCGTTAACTTCGAAAATCAAAATTTGATGACAAAATGGTGATATCTTAAGAAATATTGGCATTAATGTTAAATTTATACATTTGTATCAGATCCATGTCAACTTACTCGATGACTTCGTATTTTTACCAAACGCATTGTCAACTTACTCGATGACTTCGTATTTTTACTAAACGCATTGTCAACTTACTTGATGACTTCGTAGTTTTACCAAACGCATTGTCAACTTTCTCGATGAATTCGTAGTTTTACCAAACGCATTGCCAACTTTCTCGATGAATTCGTAGTTTTACCAAACGCATTGTCAACTTTTCTGATGATAGAGTTGTACCAAATGTAATGCCATATTTGGTTATAAGAATGTAAATCAGACGGACGTCATTGTCGTGTTTCCGTAAAACGTCACCAACAATTGTATATTTTGAAGGTTATTTAACGATCATTTGGACAACTCGACTTTGGAGTACGTATTGCTCATTGTAAGGGATATCTAACCACTTGCAAACCAAACATTCCTAGTAACGTAGTTCAACTTAAATGCATGCAAAGTATTAAAATATTGATTAATCGTTTTGATCTTTAACTCAACTGAGGATTCTTTTGATGACAAAATGGCCATACGGTGCAGTAAATGGCTCCCTGCTTCTACTTATTAAACTTTTAATAGTCGCGTCCCTACTTTGTTTTCCAGTGATGAATTTAATTTTAAAATATCATTAAAACATGGTTAAAATTTCTATGCAAATAATATTGAAAATTATCTTTAATGTTGCGGTTTTATAAATATTCGTTAATATAGCGACGAAACATGTGACCAAATATACGTCTATTTAGGTCACGTGACCTGGGTGCAGGTAGATGATGTGTAGTTGACGCTTTCTAACCACTTTCTAACACGGTACAACAGTATTACCTAAGTAGCTTAACCGGAACAAATCATGAATCATTTAACTGGTTTGTAATAAAACTTTTAACTTTTTAACTTTGACTTGATTTGTTTCTTTTGTGTCATTGTCTTAAGAAATTAAAGAGTTTCTTTATAACTCTAACCCTAACCCTAACCCTAAAGAGTTTTTATATATGCTTATAATGATTTAAAAAAAAAGGAATGATTTCAATAATGGAAGTAGTGTGAGAACATTAGAAAATATTTAGACGTAACATGTCAAAAACGAAGTGTATCGTATGATAATCTAAGTGCCATGAATAATAATACATTGAATATGTGTATCTAGGTACTGCAAACATCGAATAAGTGTACGCAACGCGAATATCACTACAGGAAATAAGTGTACGTACCTCAAACATTAATGAAAGGAATAGTTGTAAATCCCGCGAGTACCACCTCAAGGACAAATTGTACATACCGCGCATATTACAACGCGGGGTAAGTGTACATACCGCGCATATTACAACGCGGGGTAAGTGTACATACTGCGAATATTACAACAGAGAATAAGTGTATGCACTGTAAATTTATTCAGTACAGGGAATAAGTGTACGTACCGCGAATATTACTACAGGGAATAAGTGTACGTACCGCTAATATTACTACAGGGAATAAGTGTACGTACCGCGAATATTTCTACAGGGAATCAGTGAACGTACCACGAGTATTATTAAAGGGAATACGTGTACCTACCGCTAATATTGCTACAGGGGATAAGTGTACGTACCGCTAATATTACTACAGGGATTAAGTGTACCTACCACGAATATTACTACAGGGAATAAATGAACGTACCACGAATATTACTACAGGGGATAAGTGTACGTACCGCGAATATTACAACAGGAAATAGGTGTAGTTACCACGAATATTACTACAGGGAATATGTGTACGTACCACGAGTATTATTTAAGTGAATAAGTGTACGTACCGCTAATATTACTACAGGGAATAAGTGTACATACCACGAACATTACTACAGGGAATATGTGTACGTACCACGAACATTACTACAGGGAATAAGTGTACGTACCGCTAATATTACTACAGGGAATAAGTGTACATACCACGAATATTACTACAGGGGATAAGTGTACGTGCCGCGAATATTACTACAGGAGATAAGTGTACGTAATGCTATTATTACTACAGGGGATAAGTGTACGTACCGCTAATTTTTACTACAGGGGATAAGTGTACGGACCGCTAATATTACTACAGGGCATAAGTGTACCTACCACGAATATTACTACAGGGAATATGTGTACGTACCACGAGTATTATTAAAGGGAATACGTGTACTTACCACGAATATTACTTCAGGGGATAAGTGTACATACCACGAATATTATTACAGGGAATAAGTGTACCTACCACGAATATTACTACAGGGGATAAGTGTACGTACCACGAATATTACTACAGGGAATAAGTGTACCTACCACGAATATTACTACAGGGGATAAGTGTACGTACCACGAATATTACTACAGGGAATAAGTGTACGTACCGCTAATATTACTACAGGGAATAAGTGTACGTACCGCTAATATTACTACAGGGAAAAAGTGTACGTACCACTAATATTACTACAGGGAATAAATGAACGTACCACGAATATTACTACAGGGGATAAGTGTACGTACCGCGAATATTACAACAGGAAATAGGTGTAGTTACCACGAATATTACTACAGGGAAAAAGTGTACGTACCACGAATATTACTACAGGGGATAAGTGTACGTACCACGAATATTACTACAGGGAATAAGTATACGTACCGCTAATATTACTACAGGGGATAAGTGTATGTACCACGAATATTACTACAGGGGATAAGTGTACGTACCGCCATTTTTTTTACTACAGGGGATAAGTGTACCTACCACGAATATTACTACAGGGGATAAGCGTACGTACCGCTAATATTATAACAGGGGATAAGTGTACGTACCGCGAACATTACTACAGGGGAAAAGTGTACGTACCGCTATTATTACTACAGGGAATAAATGTACGGACCACGAACATTACTACAGGGGATAAGTGTATGGACCGCTAATATTACTACAGGGGATAAGTGTACGTACCGCTAATTTTTACTACAGGGGATAAGTGTACGGACCGCTAATATTACCACAGGGGATAAGTGTACGGACCGCTAATATTACTACAGGGGATAAGTGTACCTACCACGAATATTACTACAGGGGATAAGCGTACGTACGGCGAACATTACTACAGGGGATAAGTGTACGTACCGCGAATATTACTACATGGGATAAGTGTACGTACCGCTAATATTACCACAGGGGATAAGTGTACCTACCACGAATATTACTACAACAGGGGATAAGCGTACGTACCGCTAATATTATAACAGGGGATAAGTGTACATACCGCGAACATTACTACAGGGGAAAAGTGTACGTACCGCTAATATTACCACAGGGGATGAGTGTACCTACCACGAATATTACTACAGGGGATAAGCGTACGTACCGCTAATATTATAACAGGGAATATGTGTACGTACCACGAGTATTATTAAAGGGAATACGTGTACTTACCACGAATATTACTACAGGGGATAAGTGTACATACCACGAATATTACTACAGGGAATAAGTGTACCTACTACGAATATTACTACAGGGGATAAGTGTACGTACCACGAACATTACTAATGGGAATAAGTGTACCTACCACGAATATTACTACAGGGGATAAATGTACGTACCACTAATATTACTACAGGGAAAAAGTGTACGTACCACGAACATTACTACAGGGGAAAAGTGTAGGGAATAAGTGTACCTACCGCGAATATTACTACAGGGGATACGTGTACGGACCGCTAATATTACTACCGGGGATAAGTGTACGTATCGCTAATTTTTACTACAGGGCAAAAGCGTACGGACCGCCATTCTTTTTTACTACAGGGGATAAGTGGACGTACCGCTAATTTTTACTACAGAGGAAAAGTGTACGGACCACCATTCTTTTTCACTACAGGGGATAAGTGAACGTACCGCTAATTTTTACTACAGAGGAAAAGTGTACGGACCGCCATTCTTTTTTACTACAGGGGATAAGGGTACATACCACGAATATTACTACAGAGGAAAAATATACGTACGACGAATATTACTACAGGGGATAAATGTACGTAATATTACTACAGGGAATAAGTGTACGTACCGCTAATATTACTACAGGGGAAAAGTGTACGTACCGCTATTATTACTACAGGGAATAAATGTACGGACCACGAACATTACTACAGGGGATAAGTGTACGGACCGCTAATATTACTACAGGGGATAAGTGTACGTACCGCTAATTTTTACTACAGGGGAAAAGTGTACGGACCGCCATTCTTTTTTACTACAGGGGATAAGTGTATGTACCGCTAATATTACTACAGGGGATAAGTGTACATACCACGAATATTACTACAGGGAATAAGTGTACCTACCACGAATATTACTACAGGGAATAAATGTACGTACCGGAAATATTACTACACGGTGTAAGTGTACGTACCACGAATATTACTACAGGGAATATGTGTACGTACCACGAATATTCCTACAGGGGATAAGTGTACGTACCGCTAATACTACTACAGGGAATAAGTATACGTACCGCGAATATTACTACAGGGGATAAGTGTTCTTACCACGAATATTACTACAGGGAATAAATGTACCTACCACGGATATTACTACAAGGAATAAGTGCACCTACCACGAATATTACTACAGGGGATAAGTATACAAACGACGAATAATACTACAGGGAATAAGTTTACGTACCGGAAATATTAATCCACGGAGTAAGTGTACGTACCACGAATATTACTATAGGGGATATGTGTCCCTACCACGAATATTACTACATGGGATAGGTGTACATACCACGAATATTACTATACTGGGGTTAGTGTAAATACCACGAATATTACTACAGGGAATAAGTGTACCTACCACGAATATTACTACATGGGATAACTGTACATACCACGAATATTACTATACTGGGGTTAGTGTAAATACCACGAATATTACTACAGGGAATAAGTGTACGAACGAAGAATATTACTACAGGGTACAAGTGTACCTACCACGAATATTACTACAGCGAACAAATGTACGTACCGGAAATATTACTACACGGTGTAAGTATGTGTACGTACCACGAACATTACTACAGGGGATAAGTGTACGTACTGCTAATACTACTACAGGGGATAAGTGTACATACCACGAATATTACTACAGGGAATAAGTGTACCTACTACGAACATTACTACAGAAGATAAGTATACAAACGACGAATATTACTACAGGGAATAAGTGTACGGACGACGAATATTACTACAGGGTATAAGTGTACCTACCACGAATATTACTACAGCGAACAAATGTACGTACCGGAAATATTACTACACGGTGTAAGTGTACGTACCGTGTACGTACCGCTATTATTACTACAGGGAATAAATGTACGGACCACGAACATTACTACAGGGGATAAGTGTGCGTACCGCGAACATTACTACAGGGGATAAGTGTACGTACTGCTAATACTACTACAGGGGATAAGTGTACATACCACGAATATTACTATACTGGGGTTAGTGTAAATACCACGAATATTACTACAGGGAATAAGTGTACGTACCACGAATATTACTACAGGAAATAAGTGTACGTACCGCTAATATTACTACAGGGGATAAGTATACGTACCGCTAATATTACTACAGGGAATAAGTGTCCGTACCGATAATATTATTACAGGGAATAAATGTACGTACCGCGAATATTACTACAGGGGATAAGCGTTCTTACCACGAATATTACTACAGGGAATAAGTTTACGTACCGGAAATATTAATACACGGAGGAAGGGTACGTACCACGAATATTACTATAGGGGATATGTGTACCTACCACGAATATTACTACATGGGATAACTGTACATACCACGAATATTACTATACTGGGGTTAGTGTAAATACCA